TCTCTCTCTCTCTCTCTCTCTCTCTCTCTCTCTCTCTCTCTCTCTCTCTCTTGCAGTCTTCTGGCCAACCTAGCACAAACTTGTGAGAATGATTTGAGTTCCTTGTTCTGACGGTCGTTCTGTGTCCACTAATGTGCAGGACCTGCCAGATGAGGCAGTTGTTACAGTATGCGGACACATATTCTGTAGGCAATGCGTGTTTGAGCAGATGAACAATGAAGAGGCTTCTGGCACTTCTTCACCGTATGCATGCCCAACATGTTCGACACCATTGACACGGAAGGATGTACATACGTCTGCTGCACTGCGCGACTGCTGCAGTCCACCTGGCGAAACCGAGCAGCCAGAGTCAGGTGATGGTGCAGACGGCGTTGGGAGCGACAATAAGGGAACTAGTTCTTGGGCCATGTCGTCCAAGATCAATGCTGTCATGGACACGCTGATGAAGTTGCCGAAGCTGGCAGCAGAGCCCAATCATTCCAGCAGCAGTTCGTTGGACGGAAAGGCAATCGTCCATGCGAGTAGCGAGGACAATGACGACAGCCAAGAGTTGGCTACAAACAGCATCACCGGGCTGGGTGAAGAAGGGAAGAAGAGCATTGTGTTGCATAATGTGAAAAGTACGGAGGCACGAGAGAAAGCACTTGTTTTCTCTCAGGTACGTCTTGGTCCAGACCATCATCTTTCGAGACCATCATCGTTCGCCCAATAGAAGGAATTGCTACTAATAATTTGCACGTGAGTTAGTCATCATCGTTTCATCGTGTTATCGGACCCAGAACCTGCCCTCAGTACGCCAGTGATCCCTAATATTAAAAGGGCCAGTGATCCCGATTCAGCCCCTGTTTGACAAATGCAGCATAGAGGGGTCACTCGCCCAGAGCCCCAACTCGTGCAAGCAGATCAAAGGACATGTTCTTTGGGTCAAAAGTCACATCCTAACTAAGTAAAAGTCAATGTCAAAGGTCACAGTTGTGCCCCTGGACGAACAGTTGCATATGGGAGTCACATCTGTTCATCCAGGGGATGTGCAAGTCATGTCTGTTCATGCAAGAGATGTGTCTGTACGTGCAGTATGTGTGTCTGTTCGTACAGTATGTGTGTCTGTTCGTGCAGAATGTGTGTCTGTTCGAGCAATAGATGTGTCTGTCCAGAGGAAGTCAAAAGGATAAAGTCCCAGTCACGAATTAAGTCAGAAGGAGAGTCTAGATACAGGCTCTAAGTCCAAAATTCAGGCCTGAAGGCCGCAGCAGCAGCAGACCTTGAAGGAAAAGGTACTGGGACACACTCCGCAGAGGCTGGGACTGGGACAGGACCCAAGACAGGCTGAATTCGGACCTCGCAAGGGGAGGCCAGCACTATAAAGGACGAGGCAGCCTCCCCACCAAACAGATTCTCCAGTAGCAAAATCAGTGGAAGTGCTGTGGCAGTTGTGCGCTGGCTGGCTGGATGAGCGCTGGCAGGAGAAGCTGCGCTAAGAAGAAGAAGGCTGGGCGCTAGCTGGCAAGAGGCAGCCATAGCTGCATCAGAATGTTAGTAGTAGTAGTAGAAGGGTTAGTAAGTAGTCTTCAGTGAGTAGCGTTCAGACTAGATTCTCATAGACAGGGAGTGTGCATGCATGTTGAGTGAAGGGAACCAGGACAGAGATCTTGAGAGAAGAGTAAGAGAGAAGAGACAGGTCATGATACTGGATATGGAAGATACTTACCTGTTGGCGCTACACTTGTGATCTGGGGCAGACGCTGGCTGAGCCAGGCCCTGTGTGTATGGTTG